TAACCACCAAGTGTTTCTAGGTACTGAAGCTAAATTAACCTCAAAACAGACCAAAGCAAGGAACGTACCCTTATTATCACGCCAGGCGTGATATTTTGTACAGTCCTTCTTTACATGTCCAGGCTTCTTACAGAAGAAACAACCCTGATTATCCTTATGTTGTTTCTTCTCAACTGGACCCTTAGCAGCTTCCTTATCATTCTTCCTTTTCTTGCCCTTATCCTTAGAGGCATAGGCCAAATGAGCACTTTCTGTCTTATCTTGCTTCAACCTGTCTTCTTCTTGCACACAGTATGAAATGAGCTCATTTAGAGTCCATTTCTCCTTTTGACAGTTATAACTGACCTTAAATTGATTAAACTGTGCAGGAAGAGACAACAAAACCAGATGCACTAATAACTCGTCACAAAGATCGAGTTTAAGTGCCTTAAGCTTTGAAGCAATATGAGACATTTCCATAATGTACTCCCTGATATTTCCTTTGCCCTTATACTTCATTGAAATCAAGCGAGCTAAAAGCGTGCTTGTTTCTACCTTATCGTTTTTCGCAAAACGCTTCTCAATTTCGGCAAGGAAATCTTTAGCCTTAGTAATCCCTTCGGATTCTATGCCCCTGAAGGCTTCCGGAACGCCGCGCTTAATGATCATAAGACTCATGCGATTTGAACGCTCCCACTTCTCATGCTCCTTCTTTGCATCAGGAGTGCTATCCGCATTGAGAGGTTGGGGTTGTTCAGTTCTTAATGCATAGTCAAGATCCATGCAGCCAAGAACAATTAATATGTTCTCTTTCCAAACCTTGAAGTTTGTCCCATTTAGCATGGGAATTGAGTTGATGTTAGCAGAAATTGTTGCAGCAGATGCATTAGCTGAAATAAAACAAAAGAATGCTCACATCAATAACCATAATCAATAAAATTCAAATAATGACAATCCCCATCCAAGATACCGGCACAACATTAATATCAAGTCTTTGGACAGTAATATTAACTTGTAAGTGATACCTTGTTGCAATGATCAAACATTGACAATAACTCATGTCAAATAATGAAACTATCTTTGGATCGATTCATTATTCACATGTAAACCTTATAATTGTCACACGCTTATCATCGCAGATGTGTATACAGTCTAAATAAATATTAACCTTCCTTTGGGCCGATTAAATATTTACACGAAAGCATACACACAAACATCTCACATTCCTCATGAACAATCTACACAAGAGAGGTTACTTTGGCAACTTCTTGTTTCAATTAATCAATTGGAGTGAGAGACAACCTTAATACCTTAGTGTCATAATATTTGAATTAAATAATTGATTAAAAACCGAATTAGATTTAAATTAAAAAATTTAAATCAACTGAATTTCCAAAAACTTAATTGGGGTCTCACAGCTTAATTAGGGCCCATAACTTAATTGAATAAATTAAGTATACCAAAGTGGACCCATGAAAAGCCGAGGCTTAATCATAATGAACATGAAGTTCCCTTAACTTCGAACGCGAGGTTCGACTGTATTGAGTACGAGACTCACTTAAGCACGAACGCGAGGTTCATTTGAGAATAAACGAACGCGAGGTTCGTTTGATAAAAGAACGCGAGGTTCAACTTGGGAACGAACGCGAGGTTCGTTTAAAAATGAACGCGAGGTTCGTCTGAAGTACGAACGCGAAGTTCGTCTGAAGTACGAACGCGAGGTTCGTCTGAAGTACGAACGCGAGGTTCGTCTGAAGTACGAACGCGAGGTTCGTCTGAAGTACGAACGCGAGGTTCGTCTGAAGTACGAACGCGAGGTTCGTCTGAAGTACGAACGCGAGGTTCGTCTGAAGTACGAACGCGAGGTTCGTCTGAAGTACGAACGCGAGGTTCGTCTGAAGTACGAACGCGAGGTTCGTCTGAAGTACGAACGCGAGGTTCGTTAAAAATTGAGCTTGACGCTCACCTGAGTTGAACGCAAGGTTCACCTTAGAACGAACGCGAGGTTCGTTAAAATTGAGCTTGACGCTCACCTGAGTTGAACGCGAGGTTCACCTTAGAACGAACGCGAGGTTCGTTGAGCGCGAAGCTCGGTTAAAATTGAACGAACGCGAGGTTCGTTTGAGGTAACCACCTCCTTAATTTTCGCCATGAACCCTTAGGGTTTCAAACTGAAACCGCCGCCGACAAACCCAAAAGGTTCGTTTGAGGTAACCACCTCCTTAATTTTCGCCATGAACCCTTAGGGTTTCAAACTGAAACCGCCACCGCCAAACCCAAAAAATTCCTCGATTTTTATTTTCAAAACCAGATCCAGAATCGGAAAAAATTTCTTGATCCAGATCCAAGGAAAATTGAAGATAAAATCAAAGGAAAATCCAAAAAATTCCAAAAATTTACTGTTTACCGACGATTTTTTCAGTTACTGTTCATCCGAAAAAGATACTTTATTGTTCATCCGGAAAAAAAAATTTCGCTACTGTTCACCGAACATTACTGTTCATCCGAGAACAAAATTGAATCTTTAACCAGAGATTTAAGATCAAAAAACCCAATAAAACTTAAATCCCTAAGGGGGGGTTAGTCACCTAGAACTTTTTAAGTAGAACTGGGATAATTGGTAAAGTGTGATAATATTTTAACACTGGGATAATTTAGTGGAACAATGATGGGTAATTCTTAAAGTGAGATAATTTGGTAGGATAATTTAGTGGGATAATGATGGATAATATTATGAAGTTGCATAATTTGGTAGGATAATTTGGTAGGGGTAATGGTGGGTATAAATTACTATTATTAATAATTGTATATTAAAAATAATATAATATTGATAAGAAAATTCTAGTAATAACTATAAAATATAATGCAATAAAGCATCACTATTCATCTTAATTAATAAAATAATTTACAAATAAATAAAAATCTAAATCCCTAGAGTGACTCGACTTTCATCATCTCACATGGTTTCTATCATCCCACATGGCATGTGCCATAGAATTTCTCCAAGCTCCTACAGCTGCTCGTTGAGTCTATAACTCGTCTTCTTTATCGGAGTCATCGTCTGCATCAGCAACATTTCGTGGAGCTTCTAGCGGAGGATCATAAATGTCAAAGTTCAAATCTCATAACATCATAAAGAAAGAAAAATAAGCAGTTTTCAGCCATTAACCCTTTGGACCAATCTCATCATGATCGCTGAAACCAAATCAGCAAATAAATAAAATGTACACAGGAATCATCCATGGCCGCTAAACAGATGATCAACAGATGAATTATAAATATCTCAATCAATTTACTAAGCCGGTTTAATAATAATAGATATCACCATTAACCATTCAACATCTAATCATCAATGTGATCGTAAAGTTGCTTTCTAACTTATAAAAAAACATAAATAGCCCGCATATCTTTAGCACTAACCCACCAACACTATATTCTTAACCTAAACCACTGTTGTGGAGAGAAAACTTAGATCAAACAAATAATAATAAAGTAATTTAACGTCAAAAAGCTATCAATAAAGTAATACATCTTGAAGATAATAATAAAAGATCTAATCATCACAAAAACAAAGTAAAGACAAAAAAAATAAACGGATGATTGACTTAATGGCAGAGAAATTTTCTAGGCGGAGAAACTAACCAAGAGGGAGGGAGGCGGCGTTTCACTTTTTTTTCCAATTGTATTCTTTCCAATGTGTGGGATAATTTGAGAGAGGAGAACTTATGGTTATATATATAGATAGTATAATTTGTGGGATAATTATGACCAATTATCCCAATTCTAATTCTAGTAGAATTCTACTTGACTAACGCACCAAAAAAATAATACAGTTCTAGTTCTACAAAAGTTCTACTTGACTAACACTATAAAAAAATATCCTATTTCCTAGTTCTATGTAACTAACACCTTAAAATTTTATCCCACAAATTATCTCAGTTCCAGTTTTAAGTTCTAGATGACTAACCCCTCCTAAGAATTAATCAACCTGGCTCTGATACCACTTGTTAGATCTAAATCAAAACTTGAGATCTAAAACCATATAGCCATGATTAATTCAAAGAGATTAACAATAATCAAAAGAGCGGAAGCTTATACCTGAATCCATAGATTGATCTTGAATTTTGGGTTTTGGATCTTCTAACCTTAGGGTTTTCTCCTTAGCCGAATTTCTCTCTTAGATGGGGGTGAAGAGAATTAGAGAATGTAACCCTAGGTTAGGGACCATAACCCTTTATTTATAGATGTTGTACTTTTGTAATTTAGCCCCTCAATAAATTACAATTACAACCTGGTATCTGCACATATAACCCCATGATTATATTTAAATACCCATTAACCCAACTTAATTGATCACTTTAGTGGGTTATCCTGAAAGATAGCAATACACATTGATTAATCATATGTGCCCACAAATAGATTTATTAGATTAAATCCAACATAGCATGCATGAACCTGGAATTATGTTAATTTTAGAAAATTAAACAAGGGACAGCTATAGCTTAAGAGGGACCCAGATGCTCCTAAGAAGCAGAATCCAAGTGGACCTTTTGTAAGTTCTAAAAATGGTGCGAAATCGTTGAAACGCTCTAATCTTGTTGGCAAACCAAACGTAGTAATCCACATCCAAGAGTCTTCCGAAAAACGTTGGACTTAAAGAGTAGCACCCAATCAACGGCCAAAGTCCAACACGAAACCCTAGCCAAAAGCCACATGCGATAATTGAAAGATCGATGTGAATAAAACAAAGAGAATATATGCAAGCTGAGATGACGAGTTGGCCACATTTCAAACGCTTTAATTAATCTCAGCTCGTACGCTGCGGCTTTAATTTATTGTTGCCCTTTTCTCAAATTGGTCCCCAGCTTTAGTGTAGAGCTAATTATGTGGCTTAACCTAATAATTAATCTAATTAACAATTAATTAATGCGGCTAATAGTACCACTTCCTTGTATCACTCGCCATCTATAAAGGCACCACACCAACTATCTAAATTATCATATACTTATCCATCACGATTAAAGCAAGACACCTCTCTCTCTCTCTCTCTCTCTCTCTCTCTCTCTCTCTCTGTCTCTCTAATGGAGATCAATAAGGGAATTGTATGCAGCACTTCAACAGCAGATATTAAGATTGGAGAGGAGACGGAGCTTAGGAGAGGGCCGTGGACGATAGAGGAAGATATAACACTCATCAATTACATAGAAAATCACGGCGAGGGTCGATGGAATTCCCTTGCTCGTTCTTCAGGTAAGAATCAGAACCCATGAAAGAAAAATAAATTATGAGAGGTTAGAAATATTAATTATTAATATTGACTTCTGAGCTGAGGCATCCATGCACATACCATGAATCATGAAAGAAAGTTTGTTATACAAAACTTTATAAATCGTGGTTAATTTATTCTCTCCGTAAGTTCTCTAGCTTAATTTGCACTTGTAATTGCACGCAAGCACGAAACGTACGTGGTTAGAGCATACGTTATAAGTTATGATACATTTTTGGTCTCTAATCGACACATATCAAAAGTGTGGTTAGAGCATACGTGGAGCGTCTTTCTACACATGTGAGAATGTGTCACAAAACTCATGAGACATATATGTGTCGTGAGTGGTGACACATACATGTGTCACAAACTTGTGACACATATATGTTGACACATAATTGAGTCTAAAACATAAACATATAAACAATATCATCATTCAAAACTATAACTTCCCAGAAAGCCACCCAACCTATGATTATTCTTACAAAAAACACTTAACTATAGAGTTTTTTTTAGCTTATATATTGTTATAAATGTTTAATCATCATCATAATTAAAATCTAAGATTTGTTATTTAAGTCTATTAATAGACCATCTCACAATCTATGTCGGACTATTACGTACCTTTTTTCAATTATACTTAATTATATATCTGATGACACAAATACGAGAGATTTGCTACACCTTTTTATTTGTGTCACTATTATTTAATCATTTGCAAATAAAATGAAACTTTTTATATGCGTCATAAAATAAGCGTATGTGAACCCATATAACTTTTATTGTAGTGCAGTCACTCGAAAAGATCAGTTCATGTTAACCCATGCGAAATCATGAATAAAATTTCTTAAATATTAAAATAAAAAGCGATATATCGGAAATTTTTTTTTTCTAAATATCATATCATGCATGTAGAACTGTATTAAAGCTATTTAATCTCACACTTTGAGATAAAACCACAGGACTAAATCGAACGGGCAAAAGTTGCCGACTCCGATGGCTGAACTACCTCCGCCCAGATGTCCGACGAGGCAACATCACCCTCGAAGAACAACTGCTCATTCTCGAGCTTCATTCGCGATTTGGAAATAGGTAAGCAACTGTAATTAAGCTAGCTAGCTTAATGTTATCTCACGCATATTGTGTTAATTAATTAATGACATTTGGATTAAATCATAATTGTTCATAGAACAAACTTGACATATGAATTGGTCATAAACTAATCCAAGCTAGACAGTTGAAGCCACTAGCTACTTCGTATTAATTTATTAAGTTGCAATTAACATAAGGTAGTGGGTTATAAGAATGTTACATTAGTTGTCTTTTGGACCAAATCCTTAGAACTCATGTAGCATCACATTTTGGAACTTGCTGTTCTTAATTGGATTTTTAATTTTTAATCCTCTGAGTGGATTTTTTTTTTAAACTCTTTTACCTCATGCGCTCCATTTAGCAAAATGTAATTTTCTCTTTTTATGACGGTAAAAAAATCAAATGAATTCTCCTCAGAGGAGGTCTTTCCGCTAAAATCAAACTGCACAAGCACAATAAATCCATAGCGCTATACTACAAGGCATCCAATATGCAACTAAATCATCCATAATTTCGAATCTAGAATCTACGCTCATCACAATTTAATGCGCCTTTAACATGCAAAAATGTAGGTGGTCCAAAATTGCACAACACTTACCGGGTAGGACCGACAACGAAATAAAAAACTACTGGAGGACCAGAGTGCAAAAACACGCGAAGCAACTCAAATGTGACGTCAACAGCAAACAATTCAAAGACGTGATGTACCACCTTTGGATTCCCCGGCTCCTCGAGCGGATCCAGACAAACTCAACCGTACCCGAACCCGTTAACGGGCAGCACGAGCAGAGCCCGGGCTGCTCCAGCTCGGACTCTGTCGTTACTCGGTCCTCGTCACCGCTTACGTCAGACTGTTTTCCTGTTGAGGGTTTTAATGTTGTGGGCGGCGCGAGTACTGGGGGTGACCAGATTCATGAGGCGGAGTACCGGAGTTTGGCAGGTTACTCTGACCGGGGGTTACTGGACTTTGAGGAGTGGGATATGGGAGGCAATTTGTGGAATGTTGAGGATATTTGGTTTTAAGTGGGTAAAAGAAAGAGAGTAAAAAGGTTTTTTAAATTTAGAAATGGAGAGGTGCATATTATTTGGGGAAATTTGTGGGAAGTGAAGGTTGCCGCAATTTGTGAAAATATTTCAAAGTGGCTCTTTGTCTAATTTTATGACTTATTATTTGATGAGTGAAACTATGCAAATGTTTTTCTCTTTTCTTTTCTTATAAAAAAAAGTGACGGATTTTTATATTTGTAATAGTAACTACACCTATGGTTTGATTTTTCGAGAAAATTCTTGGTCTTGATATATTGCTTTTTCTGCTACAAAACACTTCCATGTTACTATTACCCATTTCATATTTCTATAAACAAATACACTCATGTTACCTATAAAAGCGTTTACAGTATTGAGAAAAATATAGATAATGTTGTAATCTTGTTGTTATATCTACATACATCACATATCAAAAGTAAGAATCGAACATGAAATGTAAAAGTAAATAAACAAGAAAAGAGATAGGGAGAAAGTAATCATCTCATTTTATTCATCTTCATTTCCCCTCGATCATTTTGTCTTCCATGGATTACATTATATAGATGTGGAAGAGAATACTAAAAGTCACAAGTAGGTGAAGAGTCTTCTTCTAGTAATGTCCACATTCATTGTATTTATATTTACAACACTCCCCCTTGGACATTACTACATGATGTCAATGCCTCGTTAAAAACCTCGCTAGAAAAACCCAGTGGGATAAAAACTAGTCGAGGAAAAGAGTACACGACATTAGTAGATTCTTGTTACATTAGTTGCCTCATTAAAAACCTTTAACTAAGAAAACCCTGTGGGACAAAACTTAGTAAAGGGAAAAAGTGTACAACTATAGATCTTCGGGATCCAAACTTGTGTTGCATTAGTTGCCTCATTAAAAACCTTTAGCTAAGAAAACCCTGTGGGACAAAACTTAGCAAAAGGAAAAAAGAGTACAACTATAGTCCTTCAAGGTACAATCTTCGGGATTGCGTTAAAAATCCGCTCCCCCTGATGATGACAATCTTCTGAGTCTATGCTAAGAAAAACCCAGTGGGGCAAAACTTAGCGAAAAAGGGGCAAATTATGATAATAGACCTTCAGGGTCCAATCTTCAGGATTGTTCTTTAAGCATTTGCTCCCCCTAAAGAAGATAGTCTTTCAAGTCTGTGCATATTGTGAACATATTTCTCATAAGTTGATGTAGGCAGAGACTTAGTGAACAAATCTGCAAGATTGTCACTTGAGCGAACTTTTTCGATGATGATTTCGCCATTCTTTTGGAGCTCATGTGGATAAAAGAATTTTGGCGTAATATGTTTTGTCATGGTTCCTTTTACATATCCACTGCTCATTTGTGCAACACAAGCTGCATTGTCCTCATAAAAGACAGTAGGGGGAATATCATCTTTCGCTAGACCACACGAGTCACAAATATGTCGTATCAAAGATCTTAATCATACACATTCTCGTGAGGTCTCATATAAAGCGATAATCTCTGAGTGGTTAGAAGAAGTAGTCACCATGGTCTGCTTAACAGACCTTTAAGAAACGACAGTACCACCACAGAGAAAAAAATAACCAGTCTGGGATCTGGCATTATGGGGATCAGACATGTAGCCAGCGTCCTAATAGCCCACCAATGTCATATCTTGGTTTCTTTTATAGAATAGTCCAAGATCTTTTATACCTTGAAGATAGCAAAGGAAATGTTTAACACCATTCCATTGCCTCCTTGTAGGATAACTACTATACCTTGCTAGCAAGTTCTCCGCAAATGCAATATCAGGCATGGTGCAATTTGCGAGATAAAGAAGTGCTCTAATGGTGCTTAGATAGGGAACTTCTGGCCCTAACATTTCTTCATTATCTTCTTTGGGTCTAAATGGGTCTTTATCCACTTCGAGGGATCGAATGACCATTGGTGTGCTAAGTGGATGAGATTTATCCATATAAAATCTTTCCAAAACCTTTTTCACGTAGGTTGACTGGTATAGAAAATTTTCTTCTGGGAAAATGCTCGATCTGCAGGCCGAGACAAAACTTGGTTTTTCCCAAGTCTTTCATTTCAAACTCCGTCTTTAGGCATGAGCTAGCTTCTGTAAGCTCCTTGTGCATTCCAATAACATTTATATCATCAATATAGACTGATATAATACAGAAGCTATTTTTGAATTTCTTTATAAACACACAAGGACAGACATCATTATTTGCATATCTCCTCTTGGTTATACCACATTCTACCCGACTGTTTCAAGTCGTATAACGACCTTGATAATTTAATGATATACATGTTGCGATTCTTGTTTTCTCTTAATTCAGAAATTGTAAGTCCATCAGTGACTTTCATATAAAAATATTAGCGTCTAATGACTCATATAAAAATGTGGTCATGACGTACATATACTGCATATATAAATTCATAGTTTCTGCCATATGTATTAACTTGCGGAACGTAATACAATCACTAATAGGAGAATATTTTACATCTAAATCGATGTCGGGTCTCTGCGTGAACCCATTTAGCTATGAATCTCGCTTTATATCTCACCACCTTACAATTCTCATTTATTTTTCTTATGAAGACCCATATATATATCCTGCAGGGATATATGAACTACAGGTTCAAAATACTTTAGCGAGTTCAGCTCAGCGTCAATTGCCACTTTCCATCTCACCTAGTCCGAATGCTTCAAGCACTCTATTACCGACTCAGGTTCTGGATCCAGATTATTTTCGGAGATAATAAGAGCAACTGTAGAGGCAACTATGTTGTCGACAACTTTTATATTTCTATTATATATTTCTCCTTTTTCACAAATTCGTGGCCACTTTAATTCTTATTTTATGTCAACCAAATCCTCGCCATTTCCCTTAACGTTTGGATTTGGCCGTTCCGCATCTTCAGTATTGTGATTATCAAGTGCACGTGCAATTTACTGGAGATTTCGTCTTCAGGACAAGCCTCTTCCGAAGGTTATGGGAGTGACTGTCTTTCTATATATAGTTTAGTTTGCCGCGGACTTTTATCTTTTACACTAACATGTTTTATATGCTTCTGGCACAATATGCTTCTGGCATACCAAATCATCTTAGTCACTCTTTTCTTGGCAGATTATCATGTGAACTTCTGGTTCAGTTTGACTAGTACGTGGATATAAATATTGAAGATCTTTTTCACCAATGGAATTTCTTGACATTATTTTGTATTTTGGGCACTAATCTCCCCTAATGTCGAGAATTAATCTTCAATAAAAAATACAGTCAGCATACTAAATTGTAAATTGATCCCCTAACATGGGCCATAGGTACTAAATTATTAACGGAGTTTCATAAATAATGTATGTACCTTCACCGAGGTCCCATAGAGGTACGCTATGGTGGTAATATAGAAACATGGACTGCAAATAAATAATACGCAGATGGGAAAGGTTTCACTTCTACACCACGTATTAGATAAAGGGGGAAAATTATGATATGCAGTTGGTCGGATTTGGTTTGAATGCCCCATTTAATTTAAGGAAATCCGACAAATCATATTTTACCCAAGATGACCCAATCGCTCATGCCAGAGTTTAAAAGAATTTGGGTCCCTAAATCTCAAACTTATCGCAACATGGTGTATTTTAGGTCAAACAAATTCTAAAATATACACATATGAATAAAAACCATATAGGTTCACAAGAATTTAAAGCAAAATCAAGATAAATTAAAATTGTCTGACAAATGCATATAATCCAAATATAGAAAAACCAAATAGTTTACCTTGACCACCTCAATAAGATCTACTACCTCCCCCTCGTCCGAGCTTATGAATTTGAATTTGAATTATGACATGTGCTTCAGGCACTACGACTGAACCAATTAAACTTGCATTATGGTTTCTCACAACAGCTGGTTGTGTTTTTAACAACTACTAATGCAAGGATTGCTTAATATAATTTTTAGTTGTACTATTGTAAGAGTACAAGGTTACTTGTTGAATTGTATTCAGTCGAGGGTTTAAAATCCAAAAATGGCTACAAGATAAGATCTCCTACTATGTTCATAGCCTCCCTCTTGTCCACGCGTATAAGTAATTTTCTGAATTGTAGCATGTGCTACAAACACAACTCGTAAGCCAACTAGTCTGACATTGTGATTTCTAATCATCAATTGATTGTGCTTATCTGCGACTACTAATCAATTCAGAATGCTCAGTGCAATTCTTGGTCATGTACTGCTGCTGGAGTATAATATTATTTGCGGGGAATAGGGAAAAGAATTTTTTGATCAAATTATTAGCTTTCATAGATCAAAGCGATCCTTCAGGGATTGCCCAGAAAAGTGAATACTTTTTCACTGAGGTATTAATTTTTCACGTCTTAATTGATAGAGAGAAAATTTAAAGTGTTTGCCTTCTGAGCAAAAATACTTAAAGAATCAAGAGATATAATCTTCTGATAACACGATGAAAATGACCATTTGGGCTAAAGAGGACATATTTGTCAAAGTTTTATGCAGTTAATATACATGAAACCGAAAAATATTATACATCTTCTGATAACATTTATTTGCTATAATTATCATTAGAAGATAAAATTTCAAAGACTGCTACAGTATTGTTACACAAGACTATTTTAATACCAGCTGTCAGCATGAAGAGGTCCAATTATAAATGCTGGGGGTACTCTGTTAGAGTTAGTCTAGATTTACTCGACTTAAGTTACACATACAATAAAGAAATATAGATGAAAAGAGAGAAAGGCCCTGCTGGGGTGAAGAAAAGAAAAGAAACTTTATGTACATAGTTGAGAATATTAATCTAGCAATTTATGCTCATGCGCATGTTTTTCTTTTAAGTTTGGAACTCAAACAAGAAGGTAACCATCACATGATTAACCACAATAATGCTTTCTCTTATTTCCTCCATGTCGTTAGAGTTCTATAATAAGGTGTAACAAAACTCTACAATGAGACATGCTATAATTGTAATCTCAGATTCATACCAACTTCACACTTGTAAATCTTAATTGGCAGCAATTTACATCCAGCTATTTATGTTGTGTCACTCATACCAACTTCACACTTGTAAATCTTAATTGGCAGCAATTTACATCCAGCTATTTATGTTGTGTCACCCATATTTGTAAATTACAAATATTTGTAAGTTAGAAAAATGATAACAGTACTATATTAGTTCTACCCATCCCGCACACTGAGTCCTTAAAAGATATATATA